TCCTAGTTCTTCTAACTCTCCTAGTTTTATCCTACTTCTCCTAGTGTTCCTAGTTCACCTAGTTATCCTAGTGTTCCTAGTCTCCTAGTTCTTCTAGCTCTCCTAGTTTTCCTGGTTCTTCCAGTTCTCCTAGTTCTCCTAGTTCTCTTAGTTTTCTGGGTTCTCCTAGTTCTTCTAGTTCTTCATGTTCTCCCAGTTATCCAAGTTTAGCACATCTAGGAATTTTTTCTCGTGGCACCCTACCAAGGGGGGTGGGGGTAAAAAAAAACCTGTTGGAATGAAAGACATAGTTATACAACTTTGCTTAAATGCAAATAATATGTTTAGAAAAGAGAACCACCCGTCAAACCTCGTACAGAAGGCAAGGAGCAACATGCAAAACCTCAAGAATCATCTTATGGAAATCCTTTCCCACAAAACAATCCATTTCATTTCCATTTTAACATCCAGATGCCGATGATGCCTCAATATATGACGATGCCTCCAGATATGACGATGCCTCCAGATATGACGATGCCTCCTAATATGATCATGCCTCAACAGATGAGGATGCCTCAACAGAGGATGCCTCCAGATATGATGATGCCTCCAAATATGATCATGCCTCAACAGATGAGGATGCCTCAACAGAGGATGCCTCCAGATATGATGATGCCTCCAGATATGATGATGCCTCCAAATATGATCATGACTCAACAGATGAGGATGCCTCAACAGAGGATGCCTCCAGATATGATGATGCCTCCAAATATGATTATGCCTCAACAGATGAGGATGCCTCAACAGACGATGAAGTCTCAACGGATGATGTATCCAAACTCACAATCTCAATCCACAACCCCCAAAAGTTCTATTTCTGCCAAATCTACAAATAAGAAACGGGGCCAGGATTGGTGTGGCCTTTGTGGCAAATTTTTTTTCCACCTATGGAGACATTTTACTAACAAACATCAAACCGAGCCACATGTCATCTCACTGATAAAGCTGCAAGCGATAAACATAGAAGAATTTGACAGCCAATGGGCAACATTAAAATCAGAAATGCTTAAGAAAAGTGGACTTGTAGATGCTCAGACAATCATATGTGATTGCGGCACGAGGTGCAAACGCTCTACTATCGCACAGCATATTCGTTTGTATTGCCCTAAGAACAAGGACATACTAAATCGAAGAAAGAAAGTAAAAGAACTGAGATCAAAAGCGTCTTCCGATGACTGGCACCCTAAATTGTTTAAGGAGCTGTCTCTGAGCATGAAAAAAGATGAGGTCTATCATATTGGAGCTAAAGATGTCATTCTTGTGAAGTATATAACAAATGCATTGGAAAACCGGACTGATCAAGATGACTATGGTACCATCAAAACTAGATTTAGGGAGTTAAGATATTTTGCTCACACATTATTTATGTTTATTTCAAGGGACAGTGTAATTTCAAGCGAGCTTAAATCTAAAGATGGCAATGTCCGATTTAAACAACATCTTTTAAATCCTTATTGATAACAAATTTGAGAACAACATTGTTCTATTAACTCAAAGTTCAATACAAATTGAACAATTGTAAAAAAGGATATCTAATTCATACCTGATGAGACAACATTTTTAAGTGTATCGTTATAAATCGGGCATTTGTATCTTTGATTGAGGGTACACTTTCAGCTAAGTAGATCTTTTGTGAGAATCGCCCATTTTCTTTGTTCTTCAATTTTGATACGGGTATTTAAATCTTTTTTTCCCACCTCACACCCCACTTCCCTCAATTTCTTCTATATGGGAATAGCTGGTTCTATCTTTGAAAAAAAAATATACAACCCCTGCTAGGATGATCTCAAAGATACTTGCCGCGGTGTCGGAAGCTGCAGGGAAAGAACTAAGTATGGTGGAAGTCCTTAATGTCAAAAAGTACTGGAATATTATGAAGGATCTTGGAACTGGTAAATTGAAAACTGACTTCTTCAACTTCAAAGCAGTCTCATTGTGAGTATAAAAACTAATTATGTTAACAGTTTCCCTTTTTTATTTAAAATAGACGGAAATATGTGCAATGTTTTTAAAGAAGAATCTCTTTGAATAAAGTAAATGTTATTAAACACCTATTTTCTTCGGTGTAAAATCTTCATTATCACCTTGCACAGAAAATCATTGATATTTTCTCCATCATCTTGCACAGAAAATCATTGTTGCAAGCGTTAAGAAAGGAACCATACTTAAAATGAAATAAATATAAGATAGTTTCATTTTTTTTCTTTGATGTACTTCTTCCTGATGATAATTTTTTTTACAATTTATTCAGACAGTTTCCGAAAGCCTTGGGAATTATGGCAGCACAGGCTATAAAGCATTTACGGGAAACCGGCGGTGATCCAAAGCTGATAGAAGATGTAAAAGAGTTCCAGCTCCACAGGAATGAGTACTGGAACCAGGTATTTATTAACACTTATTGCATGGTACAAATTTTTATGTTATTTGCTCGTCTGCTTGTGGGTAATAAACGTCATTTGGGTCTGATCGTTTCAGCCGTTTTGAGACGGCTGAACAGATTTGGTCAAAATTTATAGTGAACCTCACATGACCCCTAGTAAAATTAGTAAATGATCAAAATTTAAACCAATTTACCTACATCAAATTCAGATTTTCATTAAATACTTTAAAAAAAATTAGTTCCACAATTTTTTGTTTTTGTTCTACATTGTATACAAAGAAAATGTTCATTAATGGAATAAAAGATTGGCGGGAAGCGCCCTAAAAGCGTATTATTTTTGAATAGTTGTTACTTTTTTTGATGGAATGAAAAGCAACATTTGAGCAAAAAAGCGAGATTTTTTATTTCTTTTTAATACTTATAAACTTCCTTCCACATCCCTCAAACCCCCCCAAGAGGATATGTCCTTTACGTAAACATACTGGGTGTACCAATAACTATGGGAAATGAGAGACATATTAGAAATCGTCTTTTTTAAGAATTAGCGTTCAATACCTGGTTTAAAGCCATATAGAATTATTTATCTTATAAAAACGGTAAACGTCTGATGATGCGTGTGAAGTGACGAACAAGTAATTTTCTTGTTTTACTGAGTACAACGATATGCAATTTAAACATAACAAAAAAACAAATTGTAAACATAAAGAGACGAAAATCTAATGGATTACTGCTTTCTCAGTATAGGTATGAACTAAATTAAAGAATTTTTAAGAGGCCGTATCAAACTAATTTCTGATTTACCATGTTTATTCGACACCATTTAACTTACTTTTTTAAGAAAGTCATACTTTTGGAACTGATAATTACTAATTATTTTAAATTAGCGACCTGAAAATATGAGAACGAGAGTTATTAAAATATATTTTTTAAAAGGTTGCTTGTGGATTTGTCCTGTTGCATTTATTGTATTTTCTTTGGTATTGTAGTATATTTTTACAGGATGTGGGGAAGAAATTATCAGTGGAGAAGAAGATCTCGAAATTTAATAAAGCATTAGTGATGCCTACCAAATCTCTTGTAAGTATTTATAGGTTGAATTATTTTTTTAAAAGATTTTTATTTATCTGCAGGGTGGCCAAATTGTACGGATTGTACAGATTTGTTTTCAAATTGTACGGATTGTACGGATTTTTATCCTGGAAAATACACCGTTTTTTTAAATTTTAAAAATGTACGGATTGTACGGATTTTTTTAAAAATAATTGTACGGATTGTACGGATTGTTTTTCGAAAATTGTACGGATTTCTTCTGAAAATGTACGGATTTTTGTACGGATGTGTTCAAAAAAGTTTTGGCCACCCTGTATCTCTTAAAGCTTTTTTTCATTTTTCTTTTTTAATCTCCTGAAGGGAGCAAAACAATATATGTTAACACCTTTGTACCTCTGTTTGGTCAGATTTATCTCTCTTAAAAGAAAATATAAGCTTAATTCTTGGGTATTTAGTTATCAGCAGTGCTTAGGATCCATTTCATTTCGGTGCGGAACAGGATCCGGATCCAAATCAGGACCCGGATCCAGGTAAATTCTGTAAGATTTACTGATTTTTTTCAAAATAATCAAAATTTTCATTTATTTTCTCGGAATTCAAAAATCAGAAATTTTTTGTATTTTTTTCTAATAATAGTCAAGATTTTGGTTTGCAGTTTTTGGTTGATATTTTATCCTTGGGATCATGATCCGTAGATCCGCATATTTTGGCGGATCCGGATCCAAGAAGCCAAAATATTGCGGATCCTACAGATCCGGATCCTATGCACTGTTTATCAGTTAAGTATATTTCCTGGGGGAGATTTTTGAAGATATTGGGGTTTATGGTAAATTAAACATAAATTGTCAAGTTTTCATTATTTGTCTGGAAAATATACACAGGTGGTGTAATTTCATGTGACCCTTTTAAACAAAGCGGGGATCTGCAATGGCACTCTTAAGTTGCAATCAATTGAATATTTAAGTTTTCCTTGCTTAACGGGAGTGAAACGACGACAAAAAAATTTAATAATTCTACAGTAAACAAATTCGTTTTTAAGGAACAGTTAAAGGAAATTAACTCTTATATCCTTGAAATAATTAATCTTGTTCAAATATTATTTTCTGCAATGTCTCATTATTCACAAAAATTCCTGCACAATTCGTGATTTTTTATTGAAAATACGACATTTGAAAATTAGACAAAATCGGCTAACAAATAAATTGAAAATAAGAAATTTAATTTATTGTTTAAAAAAAAATAATTAATTCTAACATTGATTTATTAACAATTTTTTTTGAAAAATGTGTTCCTAAACATCTACTTAGGTAACTGTCGAATTTTCAATTTATTTTTGGTCGTCGTTATTTAATAATTAAAAAAAATCTCTGTATCCACATAACACGATGATTTAGAATGTTGACTTAGCGATTAAACTCCGTAAATATACGTTGTAGAAACGTTTTACATGTCTCAAATGAATCCTAAAGAATTAGTTCACAATACTACATGTTAAATTACCATACATTGCCGTTCAATCCCTTTAAAATGGATATGTAGGACCACAACAATGGATTAAATATATACATTTTTTATAACTGTGGTTGATCGAACATGCTACTGTATCAAAGAAGGGTCACCTGAAATTGTTTCCAGTTAATTTTGCTTTGAGGTACATGTTTGTAACACGAGTAAACCCTTCCTCCTTTCCCCCATTCCCCCTTTTATGGTAACAGTGATTTTTTTGAGAAAATATCTTTTTAAGGCCATTTTTTTTGTTAATTTAACCTGAAGGTTTTCAGATATCCCCCCTTCCCCTGGGATCCAAAATTCAATGATCTTAAATAGTAATAGTCTTACTTACTTTATTAATGTTCTAAATTTTGTCAATAAAGAAAAGATAAGTTCTGCATTTTACAACAATATTCATATATATATATACCAATACATATTTTTTAAATAAGCTTTGACAGAGTTTTATTCCTAATTATGCTTTTTTTATTTTTTTATTTTAAGGGAGTGTGTGCAAATAATGGATGGAGTATAGGCTTACGGCTTAATTAAACCCTTCTGATCGCTACTAATCTTACTTCTATCTGTTGTGTATATAAGGAGACAATTGTAGAAAACGAATAGTACCAAACAACGTAGCGTAGCGTCCATCAAAAGTAAGAAAGTTGCAACATACGACTCGGATGAGCGGGGGAAGGCAGGCGGCCTTGAGCCACCATTATATCCCCTTCTGTGCCACATATTAGCTTTTTTCTCTTCCGGCAGAAATGAGCCACCACAATTTCCCCTTCTGGGCCACCACATTTGACTCTTCCGGGCAAAACTACTTTTTTAATCGTATATTTTGGGCCTTTAAAGTGTGATTTTCAAAAATCCAGCCGCGTCACGCAAAAAATGTGTATTTAAATCTTTATATTTAAGTGTTAATATGAAAAAGGATGATTTCTGATAATGTAAACTGCTAAACTTTTTTTTTGCAAATCTTAATTCTGAGTTTCATAAAAAATGGGGGTTTTTTTAGAGTAATATGAATATTAAAAATTACGCACCGTAACATTTACTTAGTTTTGTACGGTACCCCTGTGTGAAAATGTGCAAAGTGTTAAAAGAAAGTTGTTAAAATAAATTTTTTTTTGATAACATCTGTAACACTTAAGTAATGACAGTAAATATTGTGATTTTTATAATATTTTCTTATTCTTCAGCTACTCTAAACAATTTTTCTCTGCTCCCACAATACAAAGAATGACTAAGTTTTCTGCTAAAATCTAAAACAACTGACCTCTTCTTTATATATCAATATATTAATCTTTTATAGAAAGAAAAATGGTTTTGAGTTCTGCTTTCTTGCGTGACGCGGCTGAAAATTTGAAAATCACACTTTCAATGCCTTAAACATACCATTTAAAAAAGTAGTTTAGCCCGGAAGAGTCAAATGTGGTGGTACGGAAGGGGAAATAGTGGTGGCTCATGGCTGCTGGAAGAGAAAAAAGGTAATGTGACACGGAAGGGGAAATAGAGGTGGCTCATGGCCGCCTTTCTTTCCCCGCTCCTCGGATCGTCAAAAAATCAAATTAAGGTGGAACAAATATATTCAGATATTACAACCTGAAGTCTTTGAATATTCAACGCATTTGTATATTTTTTTTCATATATTATTTAATTGTTGAGTTACTTTTGAAAACATTTATTACTGTTTCGATGATATTTGGTAATTGTTGTTCATAACAATTTTCTCATTAACGCAACAGATAAAAGTAAGTAGCGTTTAATAACGCTTATTTGTCACCATAAGCCTATACCCCTTTCTCATTTTTTGCGAACACTCTAAATAAACCTTATTTAGAACAAGGATGCAACTGCATGTGACTACTATTGGACTAAAACCTTGCCAGGTAGAGCATAGCCTTTTTTACCGATATTCTATATTCTGTTAAATTGTCACATTGTTAATACATTTGTAAGTGAAAAGTTTGTAAATATTTTTTTCTTCTAATAATTGATTTTCCTACCAATAGGTTTAGTTGAAATCATCAATTTTTTAATGGACTGCAGACAAAGTTTTACTCAGCTTTATTTTGTAAAACAATCTTGAATTACTTATTTTTGTTTTTATCATTGAGAATTAACAATTTTAAATTGTGATCCTCTAATTCAAAAGTCTTAAGCTTGATTATTTTAATGAAGTGACCATTTGCTGAAGAGTAAAATGGTAAATTTTGTTTTCTAAACTAGAAAAGTGATAATACCTTCCACATATTCTGAAAATCTTGTCGGTCAAAAGATATGGTAATTTTATCTTGAAATAGAGGTACACTAAATAGTATAACCACTTAAAATTACAACCACTGACTGCTCACAAAAAAAACTTATAACTCTATGTTGTAACTTTTTATATGGTTGTGAACAGTTGACACAGGGTTTTATATTTTTCTTTTAGCCCCCCCCCCCTCACAGAGAAAAAATATGATTTTGAAAAGGGTTGGAGGGGACAAAAATATGATTCTAACAACTATTATATACCCCTGAGTATACTTAATAATTAAAAATACGTTTTGTAAGTATAATATGATCATGTTACTTTCAAACTTTAACATTGGATGCATAGTTTTGAATGAGTAATCCTGGGTTACATAAATTGTTTTCTGCAGAAACAACATGCAATGTTTTTCAGGAAAGCATACCGGAGAGAATCACATATATCTGAGCGATCTAGAAACAGGAATGTAAATTGTATAAACATGTTTTTTTATTCTTAATTACTGTCATAAGTAGATTTTTCTTCCTTTTATTTAAATTTAAAAGATACATTTGCTTTAAAACAGAATGTTTCTATGTGCTGAAAAATTTGAAACAACCCAAGGAAGTGAGGGGAAATCGATATGTTTTTGCCTCCGACAAAATTCCGGGTAAATACAGGTACATTGTAATTTTTAATAAGGTAATAAGGGGATTTATAATTTTTGGGGGGTGGGTGGGGGAATAGGACATCCAAGGGCAAGTTCTTTCATTTCATACTTTTGTAATTGTGTTCAAACAATCTCGGCCAAAAACCTAAAACATTTGTTTCTTCATCGCAAACGCACATTACACAATTATGCAGTGTTTCGGATCCGGATCCGGTCGGATCCGTATCATTTGGTCGGATCCAGATCCGGATCCGTATCAGGAAACGTTGATATGGATCCGGGTAGCGCCAAAAATTAACCAAAACCATGGAATAAATAAATCAAAATGGTTCGTAAATGTATTATTTACATGACGAAAATTTTTAAAAATTATCTTACCCCCCCCTCCACACCTATTTTGAGTATTGATAAAAACTTTCAAAAGTTTGGAAGCACTCTCCAGTACGTATATGATCATTTCATGGAATTAAAAACATTTCATCATTGGTATTACATAATTTCCAACAGTAGGCTTATTTCTTGTTTTTATCTTTAGTTAGGGTTAATATAACTTATTCTGAAAATGATAAACTTTTAATGAAACCATTTGCATGGTTAACATATTTCCTTGATTGTTCAATAAATATCTAATATGTTGATTAAATATCTATGGTTACATTTTTTGCTGGTACTTATTTTTATTTCATTCAGATATGCGTCACAATCCATCATATCACAATATTCAACAAATAAGCCCTCTGAAGTAAAGATATTTTACCATACATCAAATCACATTTTTTTAACCCCAACCATTTTAGGACAACTTCAGATGCGAAAAATATATGCAGAGAATATACAGGGGTTAATATCCCAGCAACCAAGTAAGATCTTGATCTAAACCCAACATTTGAAACTTAACTTAAGAAAATTTAAAATTATTGATTTTGTTATTTTCATTTTTGGGTGCTTAAAGCTTAGTTTCAGTCAGTAATCAAAGGGTTCACTTTTAAACAGATTTAACGTATTGTTTTTTTTTATAAAAAATATAAAAACTTGTTGCTGCATATATATGATTCTTTATTAAGTCATCAAAGGCGATTTGCTGCAGCAAAGAATGTCCTTCTGCCAAAAGCTGATCAACAGATGATAGCTAGGGTCATGGGTCACACGGAGCTTGTTCATAATCGGGATTATGTGAAGGTAATAATGGTTTTTTACTTGTACTCTCTCCGTTGGGTATAAATTTTTAAGTTAGCGAGGAGAAATATATGTATTTTTTCTCTTTAAATTTCAATCATTGATGAATTTTCCAAAAAGTCGTTTCATTGATAATAATGAGGACAGATTGTTATGCTAATCATGACAGTAGCAATAAAAAAATTAGGTCGTCTTAAAACCAATTCAAAGTAAAATTCTAGACTTTAGATTTACAAAATGTCTGTTGTATTTCATAATGTGGTTTGCCTTTTTACGCTTTAAATAAAGATATCAGAATTTTGTTCAAACTTTGAGAATTATTCTTATTTAAATATCGGAAGATCGGAAGGAAATTCTCAATTTTATCCGGTAATGCTGACAGCACAGAAAAGGCGGACGACATCCATAACAAGGACTAGACTTTTTTGGCTTTCTGTTTATGAATCATTCATCTGATAAAAAGTGCATGTCCGAAATAAGTTCGAAGGTCAAAGACTACTTAAAAATCGGCTTGCTATTGTCATGTTTTGCCAAACATCCTACATAAACCGATAAAAAGTATTCAATTATTTTTCAGTTCAATGATGTGTATGGACGTAGTGTGGCACGTATGATAAGGACCGACCATTACCTGGATAAGAAAGTCACAGATCATTTAAACATGTTCGTAGTAAATTCTGAAGCCGCACAGGTAAAGGTTAAAAATTGAAAAGAATTAATGGAGTAGAAAGTAGAGCTACATATTTGTCTTTATTCTAATGTTGTTAATCGGTATATATGCTTCGCGTGTCTGTTTCTATCCATAACACCAAAAAACGGCTGAACCGATCTTGAAAGGGTGTATTTTCGTTTTTTTCATTACCCCCCCCCTTTTTTTGTATGAATTTTATTTTTTGCCCAATGCCACAGCTTCAAAACAGGTGTATTTTACACAGTGATAAGCAGCCCGCGGAAACTTAAAAACAATTTTTTGGTTTTAAGAAGAGAAAATACTGTAAATAGAGCTGAAATTTATTTCGTTTTTATTTTAAGATTGGAATGTCAGAAATTGATGAACAAGTTGACAACGAAGAACAAGACGAGGAGGACGAGGAGGAATTGGAGTGTGAAGAGGAGGATGTAGAGAGGGAAGAGGATGTCGATATGGAGAAGGATGGAGAGACTGAGGATCTTCACATGAGGGAAGATGTTGATAAAGAGCAGGTCGGTTTACTTTCAAGTTTACTATCAATTTGTAGATGAAACAGTTTTATTGTGGTAGATTATATCCTCTCTGAACGACTTCAGAGACACTAACCCCCTCTGGTATTGGGGCAGGGGGATTTTTCTATATTGATAAAAAATGGTAAAATAGTAAATAATTAATATTGCTTTAAGGAAAATGATGTGTAGGACAATGATTGATTTTCAAATATTGGTACTTTTGATTTTATTGTAGATGAATTGCAGTTTCTACAGTTGTCTTATCCTGTCGATAAATAAATTGGTCGAAAAATTTGATCGTTGGTTGGATGTTGGCTGATTGGTTTAATATTAGCTCATTGGTTGGGTAGTGGCTAATTGGATGTATAAAGTGTCTGATTGTGGGTGATTGGTTGAATGGCTGGCTGGTTGGATAGCTTTTTGGTGTGATGGTTGGTTAGATAACAATTAGGAATCAAGATGTATCTTGGAGGATGAAAATTTAATGAATAAAAATTTGTAACATAATTATCTAGTTTTACAACAATTCAATGTTGGTTTCATAATGATAATCATGATTTACATTCAGGTTAAAAGCTCATCTTCTCGGCCCCATCAGAGCACATGTAGTTCTGCTGAAACTGGAACTTTTGATGATGAAGAGAACCTTTCCGAGGTAACATTTTTTGTTCTTATCTGTCAAAATGATGATAATAATTTACATGATTTACATTATTTACATGATGATAATGATCCTATGGCTCCTAGTGTTCCGATTCTCCTAGTTTTCTTCTACTTCTCCTAGTGTTCTTAGTTCTCCTAGTTTTCTGGGTTCTCCTAGTTATCCTAGTTCTTCTAACTCTCCTAGTTTTATCCTACTTCTCCTAGTGTTCCTAGTTCACTCCTAGTTATCCTAGTTATCCTAGTTATCCTAGTTATCCTAGTTCTCCTAGTTCTCCTAATAATGATCTCCTGATAATGATTTACATTCAGGTTAAAAGCTCTACTGCTCCGCCCCATCAGAGCACATGTAGTTCTGCTGAAACTGGAACTTTTGATGAAGAACAGAACCTTTCCGAGGTAACATTTTTTGTTCTTATCTGTCAAAATGATAATAATGATGATAAAGATGATAATGATGATAATGATGATAATGATGATAATGATTATGATGATAATGATGATTATGATGATAATGATGATAATGATGATAATGATGATAATGGCCGTAATGGTCATATTAGTCATGATGATGATAATGGTGATAACAGTGAGAATGGTAATAATGATTACAATGATGATAATATTTAGATCAAAAGGTTAGCTTCTCGGCTTCAACAAAGCACATCTACTTTTTCTGAAGTAGATACCAGTGATGATGAATATAAAATGCCTGAGGTAACATCTCTTTCTTTTACCGTATCTGTCATAATGATGATAATGATGATAATGATGATAATGACAGGGTGGCCAAAATGTACGGATTGTACGGATTGATTTTTTTTAACCCTAAAATTGTACGGATTGTACGGATTTGTTTTCAAATTGTACGGATTGTACGGATTTTTATCCTGGAAAATACACCGTTCTTTTAAATTTTCACTCATTTCAGCAAATTTTTTTTATGAAAATAAAAATAAAAATCTCGTCAAAATGAAGTTAGTTGAACTTATTTTCTGCATTCTAAATAATATTAGATTGATTAATGTTTCAATTGACAATCAAAATTCATTCATAATTTTCGAGATATGTCCAAGAAGTGTTTATTTGAGAATATGTTCCATATTTGATTGCTTATTCAAGAAGATGTTCCAGTATCCTATACCCAGTATCCTGTACCCAGTATCCTGTATGAATGAAAAATTGAATTTTAATGTTTTTTTTTCAAAAATGGGATTTTTTCGAAAATTGTACTGATTGTACAGATTTTTTAAAAAAATGTACGGATTTTTAAAGAAATGTACGGATTGGTTTAAAAAAATGTACGGGATCATAGACCTTCAGAACAACGTGGAATTAGAAAAACGTTGTATTGAAAGCATGAAGTGTTTGATGGGCATAGATACTTATCTGGTTTTAGAAAAACCGAACCGCTGCCAATTAGCTAAAATTAGAAGTTTAATTGTCAGCCAGGTTCAGTTAACACATAAAGGGAAATCTGAAAATTATCTAGTTAATGAAGAACATAATATCATTCTCAGAAAATTAGATAAGCAAAGGAGTGAAGAATGTGACTTAACATACTTCACGACTGATTACCCTGAATTGATGATAGTCCAAAACTCACAAGAAAATAGTGTCAAACTTTTGGAAATGTCAACTCATGCTGATAGCTTAAACATTGATATAAAAATTCAAAAATGTTTATTGGAGGCGTTTTTGGTTTTTAATTTCAAGAAATGGCTTTAAATGAGTGAAGACAACATTTTATGACATTGCTTTACAATGAAAATTTCCTTTTTTCAACGTCAAACCCTTAAAAAAGAATTTTTATTTTGCAAATGTTTTCTAAAGGGGTGGTATAGGTGGTATAGGCATTTAAGGATGGTGTTAAAGTCTCCATCATGTAAAGATGAAACCCTTGCCGCGAAGATCTCTTAATTCTTTATTACAGAAGTAAGCTCCTAGTGACTTTGCACAGAGATAGTCAACATCTATACCTACCTGTGAGATTTTAAATTTCTTGAATATCTCTCTTCGTTCCAAAGATATAGGCATTTAAAGATGGTGTTAGTCTCTATCATGTAAAGATGAAACCCTTGACGTGAAGCTTTCTTATTTCTTTATTACGTTGGTCAGCTCGTAGTGACTTTGCACAGAGATAGCCAACATCTGTACCTACCTGTGAGATTTTAAATTTCTCTGATATCTCTATTTGTTCCAGCGATATAGGCATTTAAAGATGGTGATAAATTTTTTAGTTGCCACAAAAAATTTGTTAAAATTTAGAATTGCTCTTGGAGCAGCAAAGTTGTAGCCCTAGGTTAGTTATGTGTGCATGCAAAATTTCAAACCAAAGATTTTGACCAGCAGCTGAGTTATCACCATCTAAGACACATTTCTAAGTCCCACTTCTAAGTCTTATATCTCTAGAAGTTAAAGAGATTTTCAAGAAATTTCAAATCTCACAGGTAAGTAATGATGTTGACCATCCATGTGTAAAGCCATTTTGATCTGACCTGCATAACAAAAAAATGATAGCGCTTTGCGTAAAACGTTTTTTTTTTAATGTAAAGACAATACCCTTGACGCGAGGCTCTCTCATTTCTTCATTACGTGAGTCAGCTCATAGTGACTTTGCACAGGGATAGTCGGCACCTATACCCAACTGTGAGATTTTAAATTTCTTGAATATCTCTATTCTTTTAAGAGATATTGGCATTTAAAGATTGTGTTAAAGTCTATATCAAAGATGAAACCCTTAACGCGAAGCTCTCTTATTTCTTTATTACGTAGGTCAGCTCAAAGTTACTTTGCACAGAGATAGTCAACGTCTATACCTACCTGTGAGAATTTAAATTTCTTGAATATCTCTATTCGTTCCAGAGATATAGGCATTTAAAGATGGTGTTAGTCTCTATCATGTAAAGATGAAACCCTTGAAAACATGTCAACAAATGTGAGGAAGTTTCTTTTTACTTGCTATATTTGACACTTGTGACGTCGTGTATTATTGGTTCATTTCTCTGTTGCTACCTATTGTTCTTGATAATCTATGAAGAGGACTGGCCCAAGTAGAACTAGAAATTTGGATAATTCCTGCATCTTCCATAGCAGCAAATTCCTCTCTTGCGGAGATTTCAAATTAGTGTAAATATCTAATTAACCTTCTAAAAACAAATTTGTAGAAAATATGTTATAACCCAGCTTTAAGAAAAAATGTCATGAATTTGTGGAGATGTGTATCATTTAATTTTAGGTATACAAATTGCGTAAAAATACGCTCAATTTTCGTAATTCCCTAAAACTCTGAATCTAAATTATTTGTGAAATATCTTAGTAGATCAGTAAATAACTAGATTTAGTAGGTAGAAAAGACTCTTTTCTACCAGGCACACATAGATGAGAACAACTTCTTGAAAATGTATATTTCAGTAACGAGGTTTTCTACAAAATTAAAGATTAAACAGTTGAAGGTTTTATCAATAAATGAGTATTGTTGTGAATCGAACAATTGGTATAGAAACATGTACCATTGAAAATTGAACATAGGCTTAAAAGGTATTGGAATTCTAGGTTTTGTAGGTTTAGCAGGTTTAGCAGGATTTGGAAACTCTAGGTTTAGCAGGTTTAGCAGGATTTGGAAACTCTAGGTTTAGCAGGATTTGGAAACTCTAGTTTTAGCAGGTTTTGCAGGATTTTGGAGATCATATTTTATTGCTGTTGTTTTAAAGTAAAGGTTTTAAAAGGCACTGTTGTGAACTGATAAATAAAAAGTTTAAAAGTAGGTCATAGAGTTTTGTAATTTAATGTAATGGAATGTATGTAATATAATGTATGTATAATGTATCTGAGATAGTCAAAAGTCATTAGCGCCTTGCGTAAAATGTTTTTTTTTAATGTTAAGACGATACCCTTGATGCGAAGCTCTCTTATTTCTTCATTACGTAAGTCAGCTCGTAGTGACTTTGCACATATATAGTCAACAACTACACCCACCTGTGAGATTTTAAATTTCTTGAATATCTCTATTTGTTCCAGAGATATAGGCATTTAACCCTATTCCTGCTGGGGGGGGGTCAATTTGACCCCCCCCTGTAGAGATTCTAAAAGTAGAGCACAAGAGCTTTCTAATGATGTATCATTTGTCATATTTGGACATAAAACATGGGATTTAGAGGGGGGGGTCAAATTGACCCCCCCCCCAGCGTATCCTGGTTTTCAAGTACCCCAGCGGGGTAGGGTTAAAGATGGTGTTAAAGTTTCTATCATGTAAAGATGAAACCCTTGATGCGAAGCTCTCTCACTGACCCTTATTGGTTAAATCCTGAGCTTCATACTGATCTGTTTAAATTTTTTACTAAAAGTATATCATTTAAAAGTCAAGATTTGGGTTTTAAAGTATTTTACATTTTTTTAAATAAAACATTTTTATTAAATTGAAATTTAAAATAAAACAGCTCAAAAACCCACAAGGAATCCTCAAAAACGAATTGTTAGCTCCATTCACCCCTCTTAAATTTACCCAGGAAAAATTTTTGAACTTATCTAACAATGTCCTTTAAAGTCATCTTCACCCTTTAAAATGGAGTAATTCACTAATTTGACAGAAAGCACTCCCATTCAAACATTGGAACCATTTAATTTTGATAAAAAAACTGATTAGAACAAGTGTCCCAAGTGTTTTTGAAAAAAAACAGAACTAAAATCGCACAATTATTGAAGAAGTTAAGAAAAAAAGGGAGCGCTTCGCGTCGATTTATTGTTTTATACCTAAATGCAAATATCTTTGGAGGTAGAAGAGATATCAATGAACTTTAAAGACCAATCTCTAAGCTTATTTTTAGAACTAAAACTTAGGTGAAATAAAAAATTTGCTTAAAGGTCGTCTTCATCCAATAAATTGAAATTTAAAAATAAAACAGCTGAAACACCCACAAGGAATCCTCAAAAACGAACCGTTAGCTCTATTCACTGAACTTTAATGAACTTCAATGAACTTTAAAGACCAATCTCTAAGCTTATTAATAAGTGTTTTTGAAAAAAAAAGAACTAAAAGCTAGTCACAGCCAGCCGGCTGGCTGTCATTGGCAGGCACAGCCAGTCACAGCCGGCTGGCTGTCATTTAAAATCTCAGTTTCAGAAGACAACATTTTAGGACATTGTTTTTTGAGTTTAAAAATGTTTTTTGGGTAAATTTTAAATGGGTAGAGCGACCTTACAATAGGGTAATTTTAGGGGTATGGTTCACAACTATACCTAGGGTTATAGATCAGTTGGATAAACAGGATAATACTTACCTACTATACCTACTATACCTACTATACTATACTCAAGGAGGCATATCTGCATGCATCAAATATTGCATAATTTTTGGTGATTGAGAAAATTAAAATGATTTTTGGCATAAATTTGTACAATATTATTACGTAAATTTTACATCTACTAAAACCAATAAATTTCCGTAGCTAAGTGTGCGATTTTATGTCTTTCATGACGTAAAAAGAGCCAAAACCTCTACCTCTTCTGCTCCGCGGACAGGTTCTTCTCAGACTTGTTCTCCTTCAGGTGCTTTCTCAGGGGGGACCTTGAGAGCTTCGAGTAGAAGTGTGAACTAAACAAGGGTTTTTAAAAGAATTATAAAGGAAACCAGAGGCATATACAGGGGGGGTCTATAGCTTCCCCACCACCCTGGAATGTCAAAAGAGGTTAATTCCATACACACGCCCCCCCAAATAAAACAAACTATCCCAAAAAGTGCAACATGCAGTGAAAAGAACACAAAATCTTACCTTAATGGAGCGTTTTCGCTCTGTTTGAGAACTGGTTCTGTAGCCTCATTCTTATCAGCCTCCCTAGACATCAAAATATTTCATATGTTTCTTAACTAACATTTTACTAAGATCAGATAGATTCAAATCAAATCAAATCAAATCAAATCAATGTAAAATAAATTACTGCCAAGAACTGTGTTTAGGTTAAACTCCTTGTCATTCAATTTAAAAACAATAGTTTTCAGATTATATATTTTCGGACATATCATAAAAAACTAGGTTTTTGTGTAGCAAATAATTCAGGTTTATCAATGGTGTTTTTATCAAAAGTAGTAAAGATAAGAAAAACTTATTTTAGAAACCATCTCCTGTAAAAATCATTTAGTTTTCACCAAAGCTTAGATTAGCATGGGAACCTCGATTAATTCTAATTCCCTAGGATTAGAATTGAATCTGCTTTAAACAATGAGAATCAGCTTGAGTTTGAGGAGATCTAAATTCGTAAGATGCTCTACATCCATGCTCACGGTATTTGTAGCGAACGTTGATTATCCCAACATATTTTACCTGTTCAGCATGCAATTTGTAGGTTGTGGTTCTGGTTCTGGTGCCTCTTCTGCAGCCTCCCTAGAATAAAAGAAAATAGCAATACAAATTTGTGCACAAGAAAAATTTGAAGAAGGAAGACAACACTAAAATTATGCAACATTAAAAAATTTTACTGGTTCAGCATGCAACTTGGATCTGGTTCTGGTGCCAGTATAGGAATATCTGGTTCTGGTACTGTATAATTATTCTCTGATGCCTCACTAGAATAAAAGAAATTAGCAATTTCTTTTCTCATTTGAATAGAATTTAAAAAAAACATTTTTTGGCATTTTTTTCAACCCTCCTTAGCACCCAAACTTTTATAGATATAGGAGAAAAGGAGAAGAAGAAAGAGGACGAGGGGGCGGAGGATTCGGTTGAGGCAGAACCAACTAAAGTTCAAGTTCACCAGCCTTGTATTCTGATATTTGACAGTCTAGCTAGAATTTTTAAAAGAAGGAGGTGTTAGTCCCTGCATAGCGAGCACTTACCTCAAGGTTTGACAGGTTCTAGCTTTACTTGCTAAACTAGCTAAACTAGAATTTTTAAAAGAAGGAGGTGTTAGTCCCTGCATAGCGAGCACTTACCTCAAGGTTTGACAGGTTTAGCTTTACTTGCTAAACTAGCTAAACTAGAATTTTTGAAAGAAGGAGGTGTTAGTCCCTGCATAGCGAGCACTTACCTCAAGGTTTGACAGGTTCTAGCTTTACTTGCTAAACTAGCTAAACTAGCTAAACTGTCAAATATTAGAATACAAGGCTGGTGAACTTGAACTTTAGTTGGTTCCGCCTCAACCGAATCCTCCGCCCCCTCGTCCTCTTTCTTCTTCTCCTTGTCCTCGGGTTCAGCCTTCATATCGCCCTTGCTAGCCTCAGCCTCGTCCCGGTCAGAGTCGTCATCAAACGTTAAGCGTAGATCATTACGGCCATGAAAAGTTCATCGAATGAAAACAGGAAAATCCGCAAAACTGCTTCAAGTAAGTATGTTGGGCCGGGGATAGTTGCAATGAGGGAGAGATTGCGTTAATTCTCAAAGAATATTCTTCCAGGGTTGAGACATCTCCNTGAGTGTGGTTGCAACCCGTAGAAAAGGAACCTCATTGGCCACTGTGAGTGGGATAATGGTGGTGGAGCCAATGGTGATCTGCTTCATCTTTTTCTTCTTCTTTACTCTGAAGGATTGTGAGAGAGGAGCCTCACACAGTGTACCAACCTCGGTTCGGACACAACCAAGTTGACCTTAACAGCAGGGGTTCAATTAGTTCTATCTCTGATCCCAGAGGTAACCAACTTTAAATTATTTGGGTTTAAAAAATACCCTTACTATGTCATTGTAAACTTTTCAAGTCTTTTTTTGTGTATGTTTACTACTTATGGATGTACTGCATTTGGAATGTTAAAACATGTAAACATCAGAAATAAAAAATAAGAGATCCTATCCCATCCCATCCCAATTTTAAATAAAACGTAGCGTACAAAAGTACCTGGATAACAGATGACGCAGACGAACCAATGCCCATGCTCATTCATGGGCACCACCACAAAGTCCTTTTGAACAAGTTGACCTTCTTGGTCCACTTTCTCACCCTGTCATACCTCTTCTCCCCCGGGGTTAGGTTAGGATTATCCTCGACTGGGTGATGCCGGGACTTGTTCTTATTGGTGGGGCGGGTTGTGAGTCTCTTGAAGAAGTATGTCGTAAAAACTAATGAAAATTATTCTTTTCGCAAAAAGAATTCGCAAATAGCCAAAAATATTCGGATAAAGAAAAAATCAAGGGTGAATTTTTTTTTGAAGAATTACTCCTATCCCCCAAAGTCTACCCGTAAATTTAACACATTTTACCCAAAAATTCTTTAATTTCCCTCTTAAACTGTTTTCCCCAAAATTCAGACCTGGACCCTGAGGGCAGTCTGGGGGTTCCATGTTGGGTTCATTTGCAGATCTTCTATTAATTTCTCATTAACCCTGTTTTTCTCAAATCAGTTTCTGAATGGGGGAGGGGGGGGGGGGGGATTAAAACATATTTGTAAAGGTTAATTTATTTAAATTTGTCTTGTCTGAAAAGACAATTTCTTTATAACTTTGTAGTACAATTCTAGATGATAATGTGGGGGTGATCAAGAATTAAAACAACTAGGCCCTATTTCAATTTTAATAGTTGCTCAATCTTTCAGCATTTTCTCTTTGAAAAAAAAACAAAAATAATATTTTTTGCGGATTTCCTATTTTTTCCTGGATAGAAGAGAAATGATTTGTATTGCTACTTTCTTTTATTCTAGTGAGGCAGCACATTCAACATAAGTTCTCATAGTTTGGTAAAACTGCAATTAGGATTTATTCCTATTATAAATATGGTATTAAAAAACGAAACAAGTGAATTAAAAACTATGCTTATCACCCCCAGATTCTAAAAGTAGAGCACAAGAGCTTTCTAATGATGTATCATTTGTCATATTTGGACATAAAACATGGGATTTAGAGGGGGGGGTCAAATTGACCCCCCCCCCAGCGTATCCTGGTTTTCAAGTACCCCAGCGGGGTAGGGTTAAAGATGGTGTTAAAGTTTCTATCATGTAAAGATGAAACCCTTGATGCGAAGCTCTCTCACTGACCCTTATTGGTTAAATCCTGAGCTTCATACTGATCTGTTTAAATTTTTTACTAAAAGTATATCATTTAAAAGTCAAGATTTGGGTTTTAAAGTATTTTACATTTTTTTAAATAAAACATTTTTATTAAATTGAAATTTAAAATAAAACAGCTCAAAAACCCACAAGGAATCCTCAAAAACGAATTGTTAGCTCCATTCACCCCTCTTAAATTTACCCAGGAAAAATTTTTGAACTTATCTAACAATGTCCTTTAAAGTCATCTTCACCCTTTAAAATGGAGTAATTCACTAATTTGACAGAAAGCACTCCCATTCAAACATTGGAACCATTTAATTTTGATAAAAAAACTGATTAGAACAAGTGTCCCAAGTGTTTTTGAAAAAAAACAGAACTAAAATCGCACAATTATTGAAGAAGTTAAGAAAAAAAGGGAGCGCTTCGCGTCGATTTATTGTTTTATACCTAAATGCAAATATCTTTGGAGGTAGAAGAGATATCAATGAACTTTAAAGACCAATCTCTAAGCTTATTTTTAGAACTAAAACTTAGGTGAAATAAAAAATTTGCTTAAAGGTCGTCTTCATCCAATAAATTGAAATTTAAAAATAAAACAGCTGAAACACCCACAAGGAATCCTCAAAAACGAACCGTTAGCTCTATTCACTGAACTTTAATGAACTTCAATGAACTTTAAAGACCAATCTCTAAGCTTATTAATAAGTGTTTTTGAAAAAAAAAGAACTAAAAGCTAGTCACAGCCAGCCGGCTGGCTGTCATTGGCAGGCACAGCCAGTCACAGCCGGCTGGCTGTCATTTAAAATCTCAGTTTCAGAAGACAACATTTTAGGACATTGTTTTTTGAGTTTAAAAATGTTTTTTGGGTAAATTTTAAATGGGTAGAGCGACCTTACAATAGGGTAATTTTAGGGGTATGGTTCACAACTATACCTAGGGTTATAGATCAGTTGGATAAACAGGATAATACTTACCTACTATACCTACTATACCTACTATACTATACTCAAGGAGGCATATCTGCATGCATCAAATATTGCATAATTTTTGGTGATTGAGAAAATTAAAATGATTTTTGGCATAAATTTGTACAATATTATTACGTAAATTTTACATCTACTAAAACCAATAAATTTCCGTAGCTAAGTGTGCGATTTTATGTCTTTCATGACGTAAAAAGAGCCAAAACCTCTACCTCTTCTGCTCCGCGGACAGGTTCTTCTCAGACTTGTTCTCCTTCAGGTGCTTTCTCAGGGGGGACCTCGAGAGCTTCGAGTAGAAGTGTGAACTAAACATGGGTTTTTTAAAGAATTTTAAAGGAAACCAGAGGCACAGGGGTGGCCTATAGCTTCCCCACCACCCTGGAATGTCAAAAGAGGTTAATTCCATATACACGCCCCCCCAAATAAAACAAACTATCCCAAAAAGTGCAACATGCAGTGAAGTGTGCAAAATGCAGTGAAAAGCTTAAACCTGGACCTTGAGTTAAGGTTGAGTGAGGAATTCCTCCATTTTCAAATGGAGAGGATGATACAGTCCTCTATACATGAAGTACAGAAACACTTTATGTACTCTGGGGGCAAACTCACTCCATCAGCTGGAAAGAAGTCCTATTCATCCAAATGCATTGATTAGAGACAGAGGAGACATTATACAGGAGATGCAATGCCAGACTGTCGAGGTCACCTCCAGTCCCGGTTATCAAAGACATTATAAATATTCCAAGGAATATTTACCAGTGTACCTAGGTGAGGAACCAGTTTATCTGGATACATCAAAGTTGGTCACAAGGAAACCCATCCTTGACCTATTAGACTGTGATGAAGTATTCCCACCTATCTTTGAGACCACAAATGGACAATTAGTCCAAGCTGCTCCTACTGTCCAACCTATATCACTTCAGTTGTCTAAACCTGAACAACTGGGATACCACATAGACGAATTGGAACATGTTGAAGAGACTGGTAGCCTACTTTATACACATAAAGAAATAAAGGCTTATATGGAACTCTTCCATGCTAAAAGGAGCAGCAAAGCTGTCACATATGCATTGACAGCTCAATATTGTGCCTCGCCTGGCTCTTGCAGCGAGTATCAACCCACTGGAACCCTGGGTTTTGAACTAAGCAATTTAGCTCAAAGTACCCTTAAAGTATTAGATTGGAAGTCCTATATATGGGACGCTTTAGATACTTGGGGCCATTATGCCAGTTGTTTAGTAATCCTGTACCTAATAGGAAAACTAATCTATATACTGGTGAGTGTGGTTGCAACCCGTAGAAAAGGAACCTCATTGGCCACTGCTCTAAGACTTAACATCTTCCTGCTTACAGAGTTCCGGAATAATTTGATCCAAAGTCTAAATGAAACCGAGAGGGGAGTTGCTGCTGCTCCCACTCATGGTATTGAGCTGGAAGAATTAAACTGATCCTGGCCTCCCTAACGGTGATGATGATAGCTAGAAACATTACGAGCTATCCATGCATCAGGGGGATATTGTTGTATTCTGGATCGTTGGGTATATGAGTGAACAGTCCCTTGAATTCAACAGGATGCCAGAGAGATCAGTACATCCCAGACCGCCGCAGAGTAGACACAAGTCTCCCTGCACATTGCCGTCCTGGGACCTGTGCTACATACCGCGCACAGACAGCATACAGAGGGATCCTTTCTGAACAAGATCTACATAGAAGAAGATGAACCAGGTTCCTGCCATTGTACGGAACCCTGCTTACGTTGAGGAACCAGAACCAGATGAAGAAGAGGAAGTTGATCCAGCAGACCTTGCTCCTCTTATCAGTGGGAATACTCCAATTGTCACTGTTCCTGCCTCAGAGGATGAAGACGTAGCTGAGGAGGTTGTAGAGGACGAAGATGAAGATCATGATGAGGAGAATCTGTCCAAGACAATGCAGGATGTTCTTGAGGAGGAACTTGATAGAGAAGTAATCCAAGGCTTACAAGGATTGGACCAGGAGCTAGGGAGTATGCTGTCCCTTAGGGACACTAGCTCACAACAGCATACTGTTGTCCCTAACGTTGATGTATGGGACACAGGGAAGGCTATAGAGCAGGAGTACAGGCTGTACCCCGACCCAACAATGAAGGAGGTCAGGGACAGGCTGTCTAATCAGGTTTGGGATCTGCTCCAGATACTACAGGAGCGGGTTGACCAGCATGCCTGCAATGATAAAGATATGAAGTTGATTGACGGGCTGAAAGCTATATCAGTCATGCATGCTAGACTCGGTATCCTAACTGAGACAGTGCTTAAACATTGAGCTAGGAGACCTTAAGAATACCAAGGGATCTAAAGCTAATGTTATGCTATTATTATTCTGATGTGATTTATATATGCATTTATAAATGTATTAATAAAGGTACTTATGTTGTAAGAATGACTTTATTACTTGGGTGTTTAGATCTGCATGTGCATTTAGATATATAAAGCTTACTCTATATATGGAGATAGCTGAAGTATAGTAATGCCAGGTTGCAAAGATATAGACGGCACATGAGGAGTTAGGCCCGAGTGATAGGACTAACCCGATCTGCAATGTCATCAGGTTGCACAGATGATGGATAAGACAAGTTAAACTACTTTAAGCAAAATCTCATCAAAGTAATGATTTAAGTTGCATATTTTTATTGCATAAGATTAGTGGTTCCAGAATACCACAAAGTCAATCATATTTAAGTAAATCTTCATTCAAATATTACATCTTAATCATTACGAATTGTATGCAGTATAATAATTTAGATTCTTATAACCTACTTAGAGTATTTTGAGAAAATAACTCTCAATTATTTAGATCTCTTCTTTTGAAATAATAGAAGTAACTTTATAATAATAATATAAATCTTGGTTGTTAATAACTAAATCGTTGAAACCTGTCCAAATATCATTTGATAGAAAATCTATTGTAAAATAATAATAATATTATCATTGTCTTGTATTCTCAATTTAATAATTTCATTAATATTTGTTATGTATATTATATTTAGAATATTTTAAAATAAATGTTGTTTAATGATTCATTGGTCATTATTTGAGATGTTCATAGCCTAAGTGAGAGAATTAAG